CAATGAATTGAAAGTAAAGAATCAAGAATTACACAGAGCAAATAAGAGATTACAGAAACGTCTTGAGAGAATTAAAAAGAAGTTTGTGGACAGTAGCGATTCTCATGATGATAGCGATTACGTTGACAGCATCAACGAGAACCATTCAGTGGATATAACAATGACTCCAAATTCTAAAACGAAACATGAAATGAAGTCGTTGAACCTAGAAAAAATAACTAACGGAAAGCGCCAAACTAAAGTTAGGAGAAAACTGGCATTTATCAGCAAAAAGTTTTTGCTTGCGAACACTATGGCTTCAGAAATAAAGGAAAGTGTAACGGGGAAAAAGAAGAAAATAGATTCTGTTAAAAAATCATGGAAAGGAATAGCAGGAAAGTACAGATGCACAGCAATCATGGGAAAGGCTTTAGGGGTTAGCCGGAGGAAGGTGAGGGTACTTGGTACAGCAAGAAAAACAAGAACCGGGACAAAGCAATTACGTGAGAAAGTTGTTGCGTTTCTTGAGAGAGAAGATAATTGCTGTGTTATGCCTGGCAAAAGGGACACAAAAACGTCAGGAAAAGTGAAAAAACAGAAACACATTTTATGCGACTATATGAAAAATCTCTACGAAAAGTTCAGAATGGAGAATCCGAGGATAAAGATATCGCAATCGGTTATGTATTCGTTTCGCCCATCTCACATTATGCTTGCAAATTTTGCATCAAGGAAAACTTGTCTGTGTTCTAAACACCAAAATATGGCTTTACAATTAAGAGCACTCAGCGCAGCGGGAATACAATGTTCGAAAAACCCAGACGAATGCATCAAAACGAATGATGATTTGCTATCCAAAATAAGGGAATCGGATGTAACTGAAATAACATACAAAACATGGAACAGGGTACAGGACGGTGATAAACATAGACACAAGGAAGTAGAAGAAACGGAAAAGAAGGACGATTTCTTAGGCAAAATGAAGACCGATCTCAGCGAATTTAAAGATCACATAGAAAGAGTAAAACATCAATACAGCGAACTTTAAAAACTTAGAGAAAACCTCCCCCAAAAGCGTGCAGTGGTATGGATGGATGGACTTCGCAGAAAACTTCCAGTGCTCTTCAGTTGAAGAAGTTCAATCTGCCTATTGGAACATTGCGATGGTTAGCCTACACACAATGGGGGTATACTTTCCGGATAATCAGCAAGACAACGCCAAATCCATGCAAAGTTACGTCGCAATTTCCGATGTTCTGTGCCACAACGCAACTGCCTTTTATGCTATACTGTTGAAGGTTATTCCTAAGATAAAGGAACTTGTTACAGACCTTGAAACCATACATTACCTGACAGATTCTCCAACCAGTCAGTACAGAAACAAAACAATATTTCAATTCATTTCACAGCATAAAGAGGAATTTGGCGTCAATGCACGATGGAACTACCTGGAAAGTGGTCATGGGAAAGGGCCGTGTGACGGCCTAGGAGCTAGTGTAAAAAGAGCTGCTGGTGACGCCATAAAACAAGGCAGATCTTCTATCCAAAATGCGGATGACTTTTTCAAATAGTCAAAATCTGCTGTGAATGCGGCAGTAAAGTGTTGTACGTTCTCTACACGCAGTCAGACTACGACGAAGCCCAGGCACTACTCTCCCAACGTCCAACTGCACGTGCAGTCCCAGGAACTTTTAAAGTTGTCATATCTACCAATGGAAGTGTATACCAGGAACATATCTTGCTATTGTGACCAATGTCTAGCGGACGTTGTCTCAACCTCATGTGACGGTTACACAAAACACAATCTTGCTCCAGTAAAAAACAGAAATCAAACATCGACGGTCCATGTAGTGACAAATCAAGAAACGACTACCAAAGAAACAAACGACAAACCAACAAAGGAAACAGAACATACAGAAACTGGAACTAACGAACCTAAAGAAGCCGATGTAGTCATGGACGAGCAAGACCTACCAGGGGGGTCTACAAAGAATGGTGAACATGATGGCGACTTGGCAGTTGAAATTTCAATAGACGACTGGGTTGCTGCCATTTACAACACAACATGGTACATTGGTCAGGTCATCGAAGTAGATGAAAACGACGGCGATGTTCTTGTTGACTTTCTGGAGAAATCTGGCAGAGTATCAACCACGTTCAAAAAGCCTTCCAAACCGGATCAAATATGGATTGAAAAGCAGAATATTTTGCATATTCTGTGCACGCCGCCAGTCCTCGTTGGCAGTCGCGGGAGCTCGCTAAAAATTCATGATGTCCACTCTTCGCCGGGTTGTTGCCACACCATTACCCGGTTGTCATTTCCAATTTTAACCTTGCACTCATCACTGTAGATGATAGAACTCCAGTGGTCATTCACAGTTTTGTTTCTGTACAGTTTACACCAGGCCATACGTTTTTTAATATTGGCATCACGAATCCTGATGTTCTTCCGAACAACACACTTCTGGAAATTTTCCTCGTACAATTTTCTTTGTACAGACCGTTTGGATACAGTCTCTGGTCTATTTTCATTTAAAATATTTGTAATTTCTTGTAATGACTTCCTTCTTTGATTTTTCACAACCCGACAAAGATTCCGAGTATCACGGGTAACCTGATCGGTTGGCTTTCTCCGTTGACCTCGCTCACCAAATCGCTGAATAATGCGATAAACCGTCGACAGAGGATGTCCAGTTTGCCTAGCAATATCTTTCCTTGATATTCCTCCTTTAAATAATTCGCAGATGACGTTTCTTTCTGCCAAAGTCGTTTCTCTTCGTTTTTTAGCCATGATGTTTTGACAGGCACGTTGTGAACAAACAGACGACTGCAAACTTCCGGTGACGTTACATCATGAACTCTGACCTCTATATTACATTGATGCGAGAGAAGAGCGATAAATCGTACTTACCTGCTGAGAAATAAACCCCCCGAACACGTACCTCCAACACGGAAGGGAAATAGCGTCCCAAAAATTATACTCACTTTTGTCACGGTTCTGTACTTCAATATGACCTGGATCGCCTTTCAGCTTGGAGTGAAAAATGGTTATTGAAATTTCATCCTCAAAAATGTAAATTTTTGCGCATTGGCAGGCAAAGTGGAGACAGAAAATATTATTTAAACAACAAAGAATTACAGGAAGTCTACCAAGAAAAAGATATAGGAATAATTGTAGACAATTCTTTATCATTTGATGAAGACATAAGTACACAGGTCAAAAAGGCAAACTCTTTGTTTGCACTTATAAGGAGAACGTTTCGATTTCTCAATGAACATAACTTCCCATTATTGTACAAGACAATAGTAAGGGTTCATCTGCAGCATTCTATTACTGTATGACATCCATATAAAGTCAAACATATAGATATGATCGAGGCAGTGCAACGGAGAGCAACAAAACAATTATCATGATTTAAGGAACTGACTTATTCGGAAAGACTGAAACGCCTAAAATTACCAACATTGGCATTCAGGAGGATTCATGGGGATATGATTGAAGTCTTCAAAATTACGAACAATTTTTGTGATAGTAACGCTGCTGGTTTCCTTAAATTGTGGATCGACAAAGTTCACATTCAGCGAACAAGGGGTCACTCCAAAAAACTTTACATGCGGCACTGTAAACTTGACATCAGGAAACATTCTTTTTCTTTGCGTGTGGTCGAAATATGGAACAATCTTTCGGAGTATATTGTATCGGTACCAACAGTTAACTCTTTCAAAAATAGATTAGATGAACACTGGGCAAATCAAGAACTGGTATATAATTATAAAGCAGAAATTCTGTAGTTCCTGGATCTGACGTCTCAAATGTCAATAATTATAAACATTATCATTGTATCACTGAGACCGGTATAGAGGATCGTAACGATCCTGCACTGATAGTAAACTAAACAAAACTAATAGCTGCTGTTTGATCGTCAAAGGTGATTGATTAACATTGATTCTTTTGTTAACTTATTGAATGGTCTCTCGTTTTAGTTTCCAGGGATAATTGATACATGTTGCATATTCATCAATGCATGCATGCCATGATGTTGTACACTCTCTGAGCACAGCCCGTATTTTCTGTTGAAAATCTTGTCTTATCCAGTGCTTTATGTTTCCAGTTATTCCATACCCCTCTTATTTCATGGGGAACTATATCAAATGTTCTCTCTCTCTCTCGAGTCGAGTGTGTCAATAAAAACATGGCAACATAATCACAATTCAAGATCCAATTCCATCAAACTATGGTAAAATATCAACAAAATTTGCACGGAGATTCCTGAAAAAGTACTAGGAGAATAAGACCGAGAGTCCGGAAGAATAAGCGTCTTCTGCTTCATCGACGACGCCATGTATACCTTGGTTAATCCAAGTAAGTAATGTCATGTTCTCAAATTAACGGAAGCAACAGGCAAACTAACGAGCATCAAATACGTACAGCTTTATGTCGCGCAAAGAAATTAAATATTTCTCAATGAGGTCATTATGGCGACCATAAAACTTCCCAATACTTTCTATCAACTTGCAACTTTTGAACCCTTGTGTTTCGAGTTTGTCAGTCAGTTGATGACTTTTTGCACAAAAATCTTGATAATGGGAACATGCCCTTGAATATCGAATCATGTAAAAAAAAAACATAAGTTTGATATGCAGGGATATTGCTATCCAGAAATGGAAAACTTACCATTGGCAATTTGAAATATAAAGCTACCAACGCTGACTTTCATGAGCATTAGGGGAGACATGATAGACCTGTACAAAATAACAAGTCAAGTTTATTACAATACATGTTTTAATGCTATCAAACTACAAAATGCAGCTGATCGCTACAGTGGCATATGACACAATAAAATATTACCTTTGATAAACCGCTAGGAACAATAAATCACACCCGATTCACGTAGATGTGTGGCATTGACAGTTTACAGTTGAGGATAAGGTATTTTTTCTAATTCATGTAGTTCATTATATAAAATGGTTTTGGAATCCAATGAAATAACATCTACGTGAATCTAACGAAACATCAGGTCTTAGTAGATTTCATCACCATCGTCCTCGTAGTCATCCTCATCATCCCAGCGTCCTCTGATATGTCTGTAGAACACTGGTATGTCAGTGATAAAGAAGAGTACAAGAATCACCCCGAGGAAGATATTACTTACTAATCCAATATTTACCGCACTTTGACGGCCATCATAAACGCTAATGAGCGTTCTTGCGTGTCGATTTGTACTGGTCTTTATCACCATGAGATCTGCCTTGAGTTGTTGCAGTTTTTCTTGAAGTTCAGTGGGTGTGTATGTTATCGTCTGATTATTGTAATTTAAGCACTCTGCGCCCGCCGTTGTTTGGGAAGCGATAGTTGAAGTTGATACAAATGTCGTTTGTTGTGTGGTTGTCGGCTGTGTCGTTTGTGCGGTTGTCATGGTCATGGTTTGAGTAGACGGAGTTGATGCAGCAACTGTTGTCAGGGCAAGACAAGTTGTAGTTGTTGCTACCGATGTTGATGTTGATGTTTCGCCATTAACAGCAACTGCAGGAGACAGAATCCGAAGTTATATTTTTTTTATCGTGAAACGATCATCTTAAACCTCAAAACCACGGGGCTTGGGGATAACGATAAAATATCTGATAGTTTTTGTCTTCCTTATCAAGCAAACATTGCTGTTATGATATTGGATTTATTATGTAAAAATGCAGACTAGAAGGTTTAGTATATTTGGTCACAATGCGCCTTAACGATGCGTTACCGTTTCAAATTGCTTCCAGCTTTTAATTGACAAAGATATCAGTTTACTGCTTTTTGTTTTCTATTAAAATATTATTTGTTTGCTTTTATTTTTTGACTTTTTTATATTGAAGTTTTGAAAATAAATCTATATGAAAAAATAGACTGCCGACATGTCTACAAAGCTGCAGTTTAAACTTAAAATCGATGATAGGACGATAACACAAGTTCAACTGTAAACATCAAACGGAGTTTCTCCGAAGACTACATGGAAAACAAGACCAGGGTACTTTTATAGTTTCCACCTTCATAGCGCCATGTAAATCTAGATCAATTCAATTAACATCACTTTTGGAAATGATGACTGCTATACAGCGATCTTCTACCAGACATACTTGCGAGCAGCAAACACATTTAACATAGTATCAATATCTTGACGATAAAGGTGAAAATACAATAATTTACATTACAGATTTTTTTTCTGAAACAAACATTTGTATGTTCCACGCAATAAAAAAAACAAACAGCACTAACAGTCCCTATAATCTTCATTAATCTGCATCTCCCGAAACATAACCAGTGGCTGCGAAAATTATGTTAGAAAAGTTCCTGGAACATCGAAAAAATAAATCTATAATTTTCAAATTATAGGATTTGGGAAAACATTATTAATGTTAAGAAATAGTAAATCCCAATCATACGAAAAATATCCCCTTTAAAGTGTAGGTGCGTTATGAATAAAACTAGTGTTATTACAATGGAGACTAAATTTCCATCTATACTATAGCTGTGTGATGTTGGTTTACATAAAAATGTTTAGTCTAGTGGACGAGCGAGGAAAATTATCGCAGCATGTTAACGTATTCTTAATTAAAATTAAAACCCGAGTTCGATGAACCTACGGCGAAATATGAAGAAGTATGACTCCTGAATAGCGGATAATAAACAAGGAGTTCCTGAAAGGTAACCTCCTATGATTGGTTAGTATTTTTTTTCGTCATGTTCAGCATAGTAATCATACACGTGTTTGTCTTTATTTTATTTCATGGTATCCCGTTAACGTAAATTTCCTATACAGTTTTGTATATTTTAACAATGGAAACGACATGGGTTTCTTTTGGGAATCTTCTTTTTTTGTAGAAATTAATGTAAAAGCCAAGTTTTGCTTTCTCCACCTTGTTAGAGGAAATAATGTATTTAAATTTTTGCGCCAATCGTTCAGCATATCATAATAAAGCTTGGTACATGATAGTAGACAGATATAATTGCTCATATCTAATATATTTCAATCGTATGTTTAAGTTCTGTTACTCGGGTAATCAATAAAACAAATGTAGACATTCCTTTCAACTCAAACAGTGTTTATATATATGCAAGCCCCTTTTCACAACTTAAAGTCAAAGACTTTGTAAACACGAATGTTGCTATTGATAGTTATACATCAATATCATTTAAATTCAATATAGGCCAGTCTTTGCAAACAGATCGATATATTGAACTCGAAATTAATCTGGTTATCAGGTATAACGTATTATTTCATTCCAGATCATGAAGGCAAGGAAACGTTTACTTTAAAAACGATACCATTGTTGTCCAATATTTAATTTTGTTTTTATGTTAAACGTTCTGAACAGGTCAATTACAAATTAGCCAACAACTTGCTCTGAATGCTTAGATACGACGTCGTCACATTTGTTTTTACTTGAAAGGTTATTGAACTATCAAAATACATACCATGATTATAATACAAACTTTGTTGTATAAAAATTGTGAAATAAGCTTATATTGATCACTCTTGTTGGCACGGGTGGAAGCACGTGGTCACGCATGTGACCCTATACCCTTTCCACACTCGTTCAGAAATCGAACAATGGACAGCTAGGTGGAAGACGAATGGAAAATTCATACTTCATAATGTTATGGTTAAAAGGCACTTCTCAAATAGAGGAAAACATTCATTTATGAAAAAAATTCATGCATGCAAGCAGAGAACGGATACAGCTTTATCTCGGGTATTTCTCAACTGATTTGACAAAATGTACATGTCGAATGTCGCTGATAAAGTAGAAGATGCTTTCGAAAGACCAGGTCTTATTTTCACCTTGCCAAATTGCAACTGTTTTTGTTTAAATGTTTATTTTCTTAATAGTTAACGCTCGTTTCAATCATTGTAAAATTTAATTAAAAGATTCTGTTCACATGTCAGTCTTTTCTTGTTTGTGAAATACACTTTAAAGAAGTTATAAAAATGACCAAGATTATTTACCGTTTCCACATCGTTTGATGTGGATATTCAGGCCCAATCTGACCGTTGTGTTCTCGGCTCTATCTGCCAGGTATTTGTCATCAGTGAAGTATAGGTAACATACATTGGTGTTACTGCTGTTTGTCACTACAAACCAACAGTCGAGGTCACCAATTGAAGATGTTTGACACGCCTCCAAGCAAGTTGCTAAATTTGTTGATTCCATCTTTGTAAAAATGTTTTGAACATCCGGGATGTCGCTACTGTCAGGCCCCCTCGTGAAAGTTTTGTCCGTTACTGTTTCAAAGCCACATGTACCTGTTGCATATAATAAATAACCATACATGTTCATACTCCAGGTGAAGTAGGTTAAACACTGGAACACAAAGGAAATACAAAATTTTATTCGTACATATAGAAAATAATAACCAATGTGACTAACTGAAAGGTTGAACAATACATGTTAGCGAGACACGAGAGTAAAAATTGATGTAAACTAGAAGGAAGATCATGTTTGGTCAAAATCTAAAATCAGTTTGGGAGGTGCACTTATCTCGAAATTACATACATTTCACAAGGTTTATATTTCCATTTATTGCGTAATATTGAAAGAAGTTAAGATACTTCCTTTTTTGGGATTGTTTGCTTGATATATTTATATCGACAACTGCCATGCTCTTGTAATGACCCTCGATAATTTTCTTTTTCTCTTTTAATAATATTGAACTCCCTTCAAGATAACATTTTTTCACTCAAGGGAGTCGCCCGCCAATAAAACCTACATAAAAAGTTTGAAAAAGATACATCATGTACATTCCAATATCTACTGATAACAGACTATTATAGTCAAAATCCAGGATGGTTGGCTGTCAGTCCAAAACTCAACATGGCATACATAGGCATTAAGGTAACCTACAATTGAAATCTTGAGAACAATACATTCCGTAATTGCCTGTCAGCCAATATGTTTTCCGATCAGCCCACTTTGAACTAGATATCAAATTTAAACTCAAACTCCATAACAAAGGGGTCAGGGCAAACATACATATGAAATCGGAGAATATGTGGCCATTGTTTCTGCAGTAATAGCGATAACATTAATTGTTTAATGACGGACGAATGAAACAGGATAGTCTAGATAGCCCAACATCATCAAAGTATAGAAAAGGTCCGATGTGCATGAAGTCAAGAAATGTCTAGCTCTAATAGATGGCAAAGATAAAATGCCATTAAAAAACAAATAATTTGGCTTTATCTTCTAAATTTGCTTTTAAAGGTGATAGTAATTACTGTGTGTGTCTAGTACAATTTACAAGGAAATACGATATTGATACAACGTAGCCAAACAGCAATTTATATATATATAAACGTATATGTCTTTTTGTAGCTGGTAACCTTATATATTTTCACTACTGACGTTAAAATCCAAAAACCGATACATTAAGGATTATTAAGCCTAATACCAGCAATTGAACATTATCATAATCCAAACACAAATTTAAATACACTATGGCAAAATATGAACGAAAGAAAGATTTACAGAGGCTACAGGGAGATTAAGACTAAGTGTGTCCTTTGCTTCAACGACAACAACCACCATGTAAATCTTCGTCAATCCAACAAAGGAATCAACAGTCAAACTTACGGACAACAAACGTGTCCAGGTTCATACCGTACAAAGAAATAGGATATTTCTCAATTACATCACAATGACGACCATAATTTTATCAACGTGCATCTTTTGGAAACACAACCTATATTTGTACCACTGTTCACCTTTCTAGGAAAAGGAAGCTCTTGTAACGAGAGACCGAAGACGGTCCTTATTTCAGTTTGAAATGGAATGAAAAAAAAATCAAATTTAACATATAAGCTCTTTATTTAGTTCACTTATTGAGTAAACAGTGTTACAATGAGACTTTAACACAGATTTGATAGTTCTGAAAAAATGTAGTCAATAGTTTTGACAAAGGATTTGGAGAACAGCTAGACGAGCGAGCAACATATCGCTATTTCTTGTGAAGTAAAGCGATATGATAAAAGGATGATAGCAAGATGTTTGGAAAGGTTTTTGGATAATATAGCTCTATAAAATTACTTACACTAATTTAAACAGTGTGTGGATATGTGATCTGGTGGGAAAAGAGTAACCACAAAATTAATGAACATATCTTTACAAGATTAATATACATTTCTGTATCGACACAAGAAAATTTATTTATTTACCTCCAAGATATTCGCACACAAATCCATACTGGCTATTACAGTCAAGGGTCTTCCATTTTGATGTCGAAATGCGAATACAGAGGTCAGAAGTACACATATTAGGCTCCGTATATGACCCAACGTACCAGTCTGACCAGCTCCCCAAGGGTTCTCCATCATCCCACTGGTACTGTACCGCATCACATGAGGCCCCTACATCCGTATGTAGTCCAACCCACAAGTCAGCCGACATTCTGGAAAAGTCAGTCAAACGAGCGTAAGTAAAACTCATAATTCCGTATCTGTCCTTATTAAAAGTATATTTCCCGCATGAAATTATGATTGAAAACGTTCACAAACACATTAATATCCGGGAAATAAATTGTCCATTAACACTTTTATCACTGACAATGTAAATTTTGCAATTTTATTTCTTTATTTTTTGTCAAACGTATATTGTTTACTAACTTGGTGAAGAAAACTATTTGAGTTTTTAAGTATTTATGCACTAGCCTATTTAGCATTCTACAAACAAATTGAAACATCGATTTAGCTCGATTAAGGCTCAATGCGGCCGTTTGCTATCTCATTTTGTCCATCATCCTCCATTAACTTTTCACATTTTCAGCTGCTTGTCGAGACTCGCTGAGTAGATGCAAACCAAGCCTGATCACTGGCATCATTATTTCTTCGGATGAGCCACACTTACCTTTCACTTTCATATACGTTGAATGGCAAAGATAATCTCGGTGCATAGAATGTGATAAGCTATTCTGTATACTCGATAAACAAGTTATAGTAACGTTACAAGTGATTTTGGTCCATATTATTGAATATGACTTAACATTCGAATTTTTTGTGATAATATAACCATTTAAGTTTTTTAGCATTGCTCTTTTGCCTTTTAGTTCGTTTGCTGGTAGTTTATTGCTGTGTCTTTTAGCAGTTGATGGTCTTAATGACCTTTTATGTGTTCTCGGGCCGTTAAGAATGTAATAATTATAACAAAATCCTCTTGGGGCCCGGTTGAGGAAGGACGAAAAAACAACAAGAAAATACCAATATGAAAACATAAGCATAATCCAAAATATGAACAAAAGAAATATTAACATGGAGACGTCTGACATAGTACAAGGATAATAAGACAAGGTCTAGCTTCATATCGCAGAAAGAAAGAAAATATTTCTCAATGAGATCACTATGACTATCGTTAACTTCCACGTTTTTTTTAATCTTTCCGGAGTGCCACATTCAAGTTATCTCTGGGCATATCAGTTTTAGTTTTGGATGACATTCGACTAATAAGATTAAATACCTAAAGAATATATTCCTTTTCCTCTGAAACATTCAGACATTACATTGTGACGTGCCAATGGATACATCGATACTGAATTGAGGTGACTTCAAGTTTGACGTTGCAATATTTGTCAAAAGGAATGTATCAAAGTTGGTTCTACTTCCTCCGCAATGTATAAAACCCGTCAAAAAATCTACATTCCAGGTATTCAAATGTTGGCAAAATGCAAAGAAAAATTCTATGCTCATTTCACGAATCTCGTAGCTGAAATGACGTCGCCAACAAGATTCTATAAGGTTGCTTCAGAAAGTTGAATACATACACTCGATTATTCCATGATGGCAGAGAGTCCATATAAAGAAGGTCCGCTAATTTCTCAGGATCTTGAATAGACATCAGTTTTCCGCCACCCTGACTACAAACTTGTCTAGCGTTGCTCCATGTCTCGGTCTCCTCGTGTAGAACCAAAGTGGTTAGTGTGGTGGCAAAACAATTAGACAGGCATTTCAACACTGCGTTAAAGAAAAAAAAGGTGTCGTAATGCAACAGAAAACGAAAAAAAATACTCCGGAAAGGGAAATAAAAGGATTGCTCAGTATGATGCAGATGACATCATTCAGTTGTTAATTGTCGATGAATAATTATAAGAAGCTTATGCTACATGAACACCTGACATTCACATTGTTATTTATTTGTTTTATTCGGGTGTCATTTCGATGACAAATTTAAGAAAAAAGTTGACGGACGGAGGAACGACGGACACTGCGGTATGACATCAGCTCACTGGCCCTTCGGATTTGATATAGCACATAACGAATCGCTATTACCTTTTGGATCGCTGTCTTTCACCGGTTGATGGCCCTAATGACCTTTTATGTGTTGACTGGCCGTTAAGATTGTAATAATAATAATATTGCAAAAAACTTCAAGTGTAACATTAAAAAAAAAAATGAGGTAGAAATTAAACTGATCATTTCAAAATTACAAAAAATGTAAAGCTATGGACTTCAACCTTATTTTACAATAATGATAGTCTAAAAAAACATATTCCATAAAACAAATTTCATGAAGGCGACATGTATCCTCTTTACAAAAATGTTGGCATGAAGCCTAACCTTAGAAGTAATTCGTCCAATTAAATGTGATTACCTTATTTCTGCTTACTCTTAACATTGAGAAAGTAAATATGAATATCATGCAAAAATGTTTTAGAAATACATGACTATAACGATCAGTTAATCTGCCATACACTAACCATCATAAGTTGTATGTAATGTATCAGTATCGATAAGAAACTTAGACAAACTTAAAAACACAGAAACTGAAACATGAATATTTATACAAAGAAAAAAACAATACTTACGTGTTATAAAACCAACTAAAACGGAAAAGCGAAGGCAGTTCATAGCTGACATTTAGCTTATTATTGTTGTTCAATGTCGGTTCAGTTCAACGCTTCGATACCCGTAGTTATTGCAAACCAAATGGATTCAAGCACATTGATGACCTTGCAGCATACTATTTAAATTTTTGAAGATGTTTTTTCTATTTATACAAGAATAAATAACATGTTGCCTCCTCGCATACCACTAAAAGTAGCCAATGAGATCGATTATTGTTTTCTATGGTTTCTGGCTTGATGTTTCAGACACTAACTCTTTTTCCGCACTGATACCTTCAAGTGTAGTTAAAATATTAAGATGTCGCTAGAATTCCTATCTGATCTGATCATGTCGACATCAACAATAAACTAGACTTGCTGACGCACGAGTCAATATTTGTTTTGCCTATAGGTTCCTTTGTCAATGCTAATCATATTGTATTAATGTTTGATACTCCAAACTTCGATACTGTTTGACGTCTCACATTTTTTCTGGTGGAGAGAAGTTTTAAATCTAATTGTTTATGTCATTATTTACATATTATTGATATTTAAGTTTAATTAGTGAGAATGATCTACACTTGTCAAATAACCCCTTTGACGAAAACACCTGGTATAATCTAGGTTTTTCCCTTGGCTAAACGATTTTATTTTTTTCTTGATATCGAACATGTTAATTGCATTAACAATTAAATGTAAGTGCTCCCTTTCCTATGAGTCATGTCGTATATCTCGAACTTCCTCAAAATCAATATGAATATACACATCTGTTCAAGAAATGTCGGTCACCGCCATCTATGTGACAGTTACAAACCGGCTGCGAAATCAATCATGTACTAATAAGAAGTTGCTTTTGATGGTAATTGAACCAGCGATATATTGAATAAACATCCCGTGACCAAAGGTAAACTTCACGCACCCCCAAGGGTGGGGCTAAATATGTTCACATTTAAAAAAAATAATAATAACACCTAGGTAAGGTAGGATGGGTCTAAAGGCGCTTTACCAATAATGCAAAACCATGACCATAAAGTTTCGCATCTAGTTTTATATGAAAATTACATGTTTGAGTTCAAACTTGCTCAGAATTATTGGTAGAGTCTGACGGTTTGAAAGAATTCAAATGTTCATTGCGGCTGCCCTTAGTGGCTTATATGAGCAACAAATACTAGTCAAATGGCCTCGAACTGAAAGCATTATATCAAAAATCCTGTATGGATGAATCTTTTACCCTTTATGGATGGAATGGTCCTAAGGTGCTTAATTAATTTCATTAGTTATATAACACATATTGACCTATTACGGGATGACAGTAAATGTTAATCAATATGGCGACCATACAACTTCCTCATATTTCCATCAACTTGCATCTTTTGAATTCCTGTGTTACGACATTGTCTATCAGTTGACGATTTCTTGCACGAAAATCGTGATAATGGGAACAGGCCCTTGGATATCGAATCAACTGTGTTATGTAAATACCATGGGTTGGACACGCTGGTATATTGCTATTCATAAATAGAAAATCCACAATAGTGAAATTGAAATCATCACGTGTATCGTACAGGCGGAAAGCTCTCCACGTTAGTTTCGTTGTTCGAGATAAACAGCTTATGTAGAAGAGTCTATCATATCTTTGATTTCCAATTCAAGTGGATGTATAATAATAATATACGATGGACATTGTCAGTATATTCCTTTATTTAAAGTCAAGACGTCATCGACACCTCTGAATGTTAACTTCAACGATTTTGCAAGGTCTTTGTGACCTGTTCTGATAAGCTTGTAATCAAATTCAGTCTTAAATGTGATCAAAATCCACTCTGCCGTACAAGACTAGCAACGATTCGTAGAAAAAGTTGAAGGACACCAAGGTATGCCGTAAGTTCGATTGGCCCTTCTGACCAGGTGAGCTATACATAAGATAGCCAGTTGTTTGAAATATCCTTTCTACAGAGGTTCTTTGAATTATTATAGTTAGGGTAGCCAATGAATTATGATGTAGGTAGCATACCGGGTGCATATATCGATGAAATACGATTTGGTCAGTGTTTTAGTGACGATCGTTTATTCCAAGAGAGCTACCTGATAACATTGTAATGTAAAGGTTTTGTCATTAGTGACACCTAAATAACACAATTCAAAATGGTGTATGAATTACAAGTTACTGAATTTCAGTAGCTTTTTGGAGAAGTTATACTGCACTTCCACAGGAAAGATAAATCAAGTGTAAGGGAAAAAAACATTTCATCTCGCATTGATAGTGAATATAACTTCGTTTGTCAATATAAAGCTTCAGATGCTAAGCTGACCAGTAAATCCAAGGTTAGAATTAGACTTAATACTCCAAATAATGGATATAATAATCCTTTCTCCTTTGACTTTACACCAACAATATCGATTAGTATTGACAATATAATCAATCACAAAAGGTTTGATCACTTTATTTAGAAACTTAACGATATAATGAAATGTTACAAATAAATGGATTTCGACTCCTCAAAAATTGAAATCAAGTTTAATGCGGCAAACAGTGCCTTGTTAGAGAAGAGTGAGTTATCTAACAATGAAATGAAAAGAAAATCCTGAATGCTGTCAAATTGGTGATGAGGTGATGGCACATTAAACTACGTAATATAAAAGCCGATTCTGTATCAATGTTTATTAAACGACATAATCAGAAACTGGGGAACATCGATTTAACAACATATCTGATTTACATACCGTTGTCATCAGGAACAAAGGTAACCAGCCGTTATTGAAGCGATTTGAAGTACGTGCTCCAGAGAGGAGGAACGGTATGTTAAGTGCTATCCTTGGCTTCAGGTGAAAAACACTCATTGTACATACTAATCCATATCATCTTTGATTGGATGTATAATTACACTACTTAATAGATTGTGTGACTTGAAACTTTACTTAATAGATTGTGTGACTTTTAACATTACTTAATAGATTGTGTGACTTTAAACTTTACTTAATAGATTGTGTGACTTTAAACTTTACTTAATAGATTGTGTGACTTTTAACATTACTTAATAGATTGTGTGACTTTAAACTTTACTTAATAGATTGTGTGACTTTAAACTTTACTTAATAGATTGTGTGACTTTAAACTTTACTTAATAGATTGTGTGACTTTTAACATTACTTAATAGATTGTGTGACTTTAAACTTTACTTAATAGATTGTGTGACTTTAAACTTTACTTAATAGATTGTGTGACTTTTAACATTACTTAATAGATTGTGTGACTTTAAACTTTACTTAATAGATTGTGTGACTTTAAACTTTACTTAATAGATTGTGTGACTTTTAATATTACTTAATAGATTGTATCATACGATATCATGAATTTCAATCTAAAATCCGACACTCAAAACAATAAAAAAAGAACATAGAGGATAAAATATAAATCGTGTTCCTCTACGTCAACTACACGATGGCACTTATTCGAAAATTGTCATGTTATAAATCAGTAATATCAATAATCATGATTTCACAAAGCATTGAATATTTGTTTATATTGTCCACCGGGAAAAAGATAATGTGAAATAAATATGATTTCTAGCTTGGTATAGATGAGGGGCAAGGGTACCGAACAAAATGATTTTCAACCGTTTCAGTGTGATGCATGTAGATGTATAACAAAACTCATTAATTTATCTATTATTCACATACTACTATAATTTACAAAACAACATGCAATCAAAAATATAAGTGAATATTACAGCAGAGACCAGACGAATACTACTAATATTCCAAAATGACAGTTACTATCTCTAGCGTGACAAAAAAGTTAGGCATGGATATCTATGACGAAATTGAGTTCATATATTGATATGCTATTACTTGTCAAATCAATCATGCACTTAACACATCAAAAAGAATAGGTGGACAAAAAAAATGTTCAAGATCTCGTCAATCAAATCTCGCTGATCGGTACTTTCCCGACAACACTTTGGATTTTAAATATTGGTGCTCCAGGACCTCCCAGTTCGTGAGTTCTCGGGATTGTCTTTTTGATTTCATCCGGTCTCCTCTTCATAGTCTCTTCCGTGATTCCTTTTACCTGACAAAATAAACACACTGATTTTACTATATTCGCACGTAAGAGAATAACAGAAATCAAATTACATATATATAGTCAAGCGACTCGTCACTGTTGATAGTGTTAAATTGTGTTTATCGGAATGGATATCCAGACAGCAATGTTGCATATCTTACAACAGGGTGTTACTGTATACTTAAAAATTTAAATCATTTTTCTAGTATTAATACAGCATTTCAATGCCTTTTCATAACGAATTTCGTAGGATTATAACTGAGAAAAAGTCTTACGTGTTGCTACGGCCGTTGTCATAGACGCGTAAACGAATAACACAATCATTTTGAAGAACATTTATAACCATGTCGATTATTCAACCTTGTAGTCTATATGAAAATGGATGCAATTGTGTGATCAATACAAATAATAAATCCAATAATCTGAATTCAAGTGTCCATCTTAATAATCTCAACGATAAGTTTTCAAAACATCTCATTTCACATGCAAAAATATTCAGATATACAGTACGTTATGCTGAATTTAATTATTCTTTTTTCCAGCAACACATTTGTCATTTAGAGGTTGCAAACATAAATGTTTTTCTATATCCGTTTAACGTCACTATATTACCGGGGGCAATATGTATATATATTAACCATAATTATTGTGTAAGAGAAATGTACTGGATAGGAAATGATGAAACTAAGGCATGGAAGGAATTAAGGAGCTGTATTTTACGTATTTTAAACGGCAGATACTGAAAATCAAGAATGGTGGTGAATAAACATTTACAAATATACACCCAATATTAAGCATTTTAAATAGCTTGTCGTTTAACGAGCTTGAAGGAGCATGAATGTATTTTCTGCCATATGAGTGCATTTCAATTATATATCTATATGATATTTAAAGTACCGTCTTTAATTTTTGATTGGATATTTTATACTTAGCCATTATACGCATCATACTTTCATTGTTTAATAATCTCTACTAGGAATCACTGTGAAGAAATACAAAATAGATGAATGCATTGATATAATCCACATTATTGGTGATTTAATTCAACCGTCGCTCCATACAAAAAATCAGACCTATTAACAGCAAATACCAATCTGATTTGTCAAAGCTGAAAAGGATATATCAATACTGGGAAAATTGTAGCGGTGTTGTAATGATGGTCGAACTTTCGGTGAAAGTGATCTATTTCGGAATGACCAGAAATATAACCAGCCTATTTTTTGTATACGTATTGCATCTTTTTCTGGAGTATACTTACACTTCACAACACTTTTTTCTAACTGAATTTCTTACAATTATATATTATATGAGATATTGTTCAACATTTGGAAGATGATTTATGAAACTCTGCACTTACCCACATGTACATGTGTCCGGCGGCCGGACAGTTCGTTGTGATTTTTTCAAGATCAAGTCTTTTTATAAGTTTGTTTGCACCAAGTGTAATATCCATTTCCAATCTGTGTATGTTAAAGGTGTTGATTCTGTGCCTCAGAGATTCTTGTTCTTTTCGCAACAAAATTTCAACCGCATTTGTCCAGATCTGAGTGGAAAAGAGCAAACATTTAAATATGTTATGAGACAAAGTCCAGAGTTAGAACGACAAAATTCATTATCTAATCTCTGTTATATGCATAAAAGAAGAATTTTATCTCCCATCCTAGAATATTTGAGAGATAAAAAAGAATCTAAATTTGAGTCTTAAAGTGACTTTTTTATTATCGCAATATCAACGTTTGCATGATCTCAGCCATCAAACTCTCCTTTTCAACTATTGATGATATAGAAGCTCTGCCACCTTTCCGGTCTGGTTGTCAATAGTTTCGGGCCAGGATGTAGGTCGAGGCATAAAATGCTTCTCTATATGAATTATTTGTCTATTCCTAGTATACCCAAACTTCCTCATGTATATCTCTGAATGTCTAAACTATTTGTGTTTTACCGGTTGATGGCCCTAATGATCTTTTATGTGTTGACCGATCGTTAATAATGTCATAATAATAATGCTTCGACACCCACTTTATCTAACGGTTATCGTTATTCTGACATTACCAACGGAGAAAAGTGCATAGGAATATAAGAGTTATCGTCATCGTACCTGTCCAATTCACATTTTACATATTTGAGCATGTACTTATAATACATTTTTCCAATATTGATGTGCATGTACTTATAATACATTTCTCCAATATTGATGTAGGTCACCTGCCTCAACATGAAAGATGGCCGCCGTCTTTGGACTAACATAAAACTTCAAGATCAAAAAAATTTGAAATGAAAGAATCGGTTATCTAACCATGATCTATCCTTATTTGTCAAGTAGATTTACAATCTATATATATGTCCAATTGTTTATTAGGCAAACAGGCTTTCATTTCTATCATTTGTTAGAATGATTTTGAACGGCTTCATCTAATCTTTGAAAGAAAAAAATGAACCATAACTTTAAATCTAGTGGTGTTATCCACGATTCAGAAATGTTGAGTAGAGAACTGTTAAATTGCGTGTATTGATATCGGAATGTTAGAATTCAGTCCTTGAATAAAATTTACCTATGAAAAATTCCATGATTACAAAATATTGCGCACACATATTAAGGAAATTTTGAGTAATGTATTCAGAGAATCGAACAGCATTTCAAAGTTAGATTCAATATTATGTGATGCAAAAAGGTCGGGTGATATCCATTGCAATATGGCACCTTTACTTCTCAGCTCTGAAGACGTTATCTTATTTATTAAGATGGTCATGGTTTACCCGCCATATTTGTATATTTATCCATAAAACTTTTTTTTCCCTGTGTCCTCCAGTGGAAGGAAACCGGAGTAATTGTAAAACGTTGAGTATTTTCTACCAGATCGTAGTGCTGTATAGTTAGTTACCGTGGTAATCTCTTCAAAGTCCCCTAGCAAAAGCAACATTGCTTTTATGACCTCGTGCACCTCGTCCAATACTGGATGGCTGCATATGTCTGAAATGGTTGAGTTTGGAATGGCCAATACGTCATGTTTCTGCACATGCAAATTTGTAAATCTTGTGATGAGGTCACGTGCAATATTCATTTCACGTTGCATTGGTTCCTCATACTCTTTGATGTTGACAAGATCCACTGCACGATCTAACCCGTAAAGGTGCATATCATCTATGGCCGTCTGTAGCTCTAGAAGAAAACAAGATTGGTGGAGATAAGTTCTAGTACCGTGTCATATTCCCCCATATTATTTCATAGTGTTTTCAAAACTGCATCTCAACTGGTATGACAATTATGCGGGAACTTGTAGATACAACATATGGAGAACAGATCAGAAACATTATGCAACGGACCCACTCTGGAAATGATCTTATTGTGATATCAAGTGAAATGTGTATTAGGTAGTAACATTATAAATATGTATTATCAGAAGATTTCGTGTTTTTTTTTATGATTTCTTACGGGATTTCACATTTGCGATGTCCTCTGCAAGATTCACACTGGCGACGTCGACGCCAACGATGAGATTATTACATATATTGAGCTGTTCTCCATCTTCCTTCAGTATGTAGATGCATATCGCAGCCTCATCTCCCTCGGGAGGGTGCACCTCTGTAAACAGACAAAGCGCATCCAGTTATTTCATTTACGTAGTTACTACCACTTCCACCGATTTAAAGGATAGCTTATTTATTATCGGTAATATAGTCACTTACTGACCATCTATAGAGCCTCCTATACATTTTACTGACCCTCTATGGTTCTGTAGGGGTAAGTAAGTGACTATCTAATGAATTTATCGCATCGAGGACCCTTTTCATACATTAACAATACCTGTATCATCATGTTATTTCATTTATTGTATGTATAACAAAGCAATCAAAATTTAACAACTATAAGATAAAAATGGGATAAACTCTCTTCTAATTGTTGTGGACTGAACGATTCACACTCTGTGTTTTGTTTCTTTTCCAATAAATAAACTGAAGCGCTTAGCTATCATTTGGTTAGCCTTCAAGGTATTTGATGCTTGATTATTTTGTCTTTTGTTGTTGTTGTTGATATCTGCTGGTGTCGTCTGCCCAAAGCGGTCAATTTTGTAAATATTCCGAGTGGCCGACACGCTTGAAATGCCATCCAAAAATAGCTCAAAACTGCACTCAAAATTTCTAATTGTAAGGGGAATAACTCTTATTATTGTCATTTTTTTCCGAAAGACATAGGAAGCAACTGTATTCAATATCATGACCGAAGAAGCGATTTTGTAAAGTAAAACAGTTCATTTTCAGAAGCGGTTGACGTGGTCGGCGCCATTAAATCAAAGTGACCCCCTATAAAACCCGTGGTGCCATCTAACGGGACAAAGTGACCCACTATAGAATTATAGTGGGTCACCATGTGGCGTCTCTCGACCAGTGATTTTAGGACATTCTAGTCCGAGGTGCGATGATACTTTATAGGGATTGGCTCTCATTCAGCAAGCAAGTTCAAGAACAATAATTCTTTTTCCTGGCCACTTTCTTTTTCTTATTTTGTATATATTAACAATGTCATTTTTAACACTTGTCTTACTTTTTACTTCGTTTGATGTTATTTCCTTTTGGTTCGCTGTGTTTTCCACTTGTTGATGACTCTAATAATCTTTTTTGTTGTGTTGAAGGGCCGTAACAACATATAAAAGTATACTTCTATGACAAATAAGTCTCTATTTTCTACTGTTGTATTACACCACCGAAAGAAGTTGAACTTTTCTCAACTTGAATCGCACTGTGATAATATGAGTGATTATTATTCCTAATGTCAAACGACTGACCCCTGTGGAATTTTCTCCTTAGAGTTTATCTATCTGTTAAATGAGCACAACACTTTTATTAATGTGACTTTCTTGTTAAAACTCACCAATAATATACTGATCTACTTCCTCAGTCACGCCCGTTTTTTCCAAGGGAAGGGAATCCAAGCTCTTGTTAACATCTGTCAGGCGGTATCGTAGATCCAAACCTAGAAGAGCAAGATCTGTGTTTATGTCGGTGTGACTGTGTATGCTAAATAGGATATTTTTCATGTGAGATATGAGTTTGGTTCAAGCTATTTAAGGCCTGCCTCCGATTAGAGTTTATGTGTTGCAGCGATGCGAGTGTGTATGTTTTCGGGAGTATCTGTGTTGAAATCAAAGAAATACTAAAATGTTCAATTAAATCAAATAGGACAATTCTGAGTTGTGATAAGTAACTTCACTATTAAACCTAATGCTATCAAAAGCATACATTATCAATAACAGTTATCATCAGTATCATGAAAATGCACATGACATGACGATTGCTAACTGGCATCGGAATAATAAGTACTATCTCAAATACTTGTTTTTATAACAAAAACCTTATGATTAATTACCATATTGGGTTGATTGTATTTTTGATTCGTATATCATTGCAATTTGAAGAATATTGAATGCGAGTAGCGACATACTAGAAATTGAAATGGTAAAAGTCAGAATATTTTCCCAATCTGCATTTAATGTTGAGGACTGCCTTTTCTGTTGATCATATTTAAAACGATCTCTATTTTAGTTATCTGATCCGAATGCGTACCGTCAAACCTCCATACTTTTCTTCTGACCAGGTTTAAAATATTTTCAATGAAAATTAAGCAACTTTTGCTCAACGAAGTTTTTTTTAGTATATAAATTGTTGTAAACTGCATCAACTACATATCAAGCTACCATTTTGTGGTGCCTTTAGCCAATGAATGTTTATATAAACATTCATTGAATTGATTCAGGTGTTTTCCAGAAGTCGGAAATGTTAAAAGTTTACGACATACAAGCTGGATAAAAGGGGATCGCAATGGGTCACCCTGAGATTTCACTTTTGAAGGCAATGGGAGATATCCGGACAAATTAAAGAACTTTCTGTTTTAAAATAAGGCCTTTCACCATCACTGACGGGTCTTAAAAGGACGAAATAGCTGTGTGCTATAGTTATTCATTCATACCTGTTCGTATTGATTATTAGTATTGTGTTTGTGATCTGCATGATGCACAAAAATAACAATTAATTGAAAATATAGTATATTCATAGTGATAAACCGCAATGATAGAAAAAATGTATTAAGAATAAGAGAGAATCAGGGACCTAAACAAACAATCAAACCGAATATGTTGTTAAACATACAGAAAACTGTCATTTGCCAAATAAAATTAGTTACGTTGTCAATATCTGGAATAAAATCCATTTTGAGATAATTGATACAATTAAAATAGCCTGTTGGTTACCTCGTGCTTCGTCTTCTTCAATACCGAAGGCAATTAATGTCTGGTCACCCTCTGCAAGAATAACGGCATGAGGATGTGATAGTGCTACCAATCCATTCTCCTCAACACGAGGATTATTCCCCCATCCAGCATCCCCCACCTTCGGAAACGCTTGGTACTTTTTTGGAAAGCCATTTACCCTGATTTTGTAAACTGCTACCCAATCAAAATCATAATCGTCGTCTGTGATTGTACGATCTTTTCCGACGATTTCCAGTTTGTATGTTCCTTTACGTGGAAACCGGATCCGAATAGCAACTGAATTGTCATTCGGATTGTATATCATGTCGTGTTGGAAACGGCTGTCTTCCTGCAGATGCCAGTCATTAAAGTCAGCCCTGAAGATGAGACAGTTCAGATGAATATCCATCTTTTTGTGTTCTGGTATCCCAAATGTTAATTCGATGTCCCCAGTGTCTGTCTGTATCTCGCATATGGTGTGTGTCAGTAGCCTCATTCCCAGTTCAAAGAATCTCTCTTTCACAAAGGACTTTCTTTCAAATCCATGTATGCTTACTGGTCTATCCACAAGTTGCCAAAATGGCTCTTCAGGAAAGTGTGAATACACCAGTTGCTCAGGATCAGTAAGGAAGTAGGTTTCGTCAACTTTGAATGTTCTGTCTACTGTCTCACTCAGTTGCGTCCCAACTGCACAAGCGGCCCAGTATGGATTGATGAGGCGCCATGTATTGTCGATCAGGACTGCGTTCCATTCGCCATACAGGGCAGCCTTATTTTTCTCTACTGATTGCCCTATGTGATAAGTACTTCCTTTCAGGTAACCATGGATACAGACACATGTAATGTTGGCGATTCTGGTAATATAAAATACACTGACTGACATACGGCAGTAAAGAGAAAGGGGTAAAGGAGGCCGGGGGGAGGGGCGTCAAAAATAAAAAAATAAAATTGAATTTTTAGAAAAAAAGTTGGCCAGTAACAGAAAGAAAGTCACCAACAAACTTTTTTTATAAGATGAGATAGAATCTTTTATATCATGAGTATTAGCTAAACAAACACTATCGAACAATTGTATTATACCTGCAAAGGAAGCTGAACATCTGAGAATAGTTGTTTTTCTTGACCTTGAGACGTGTTAGATAGTAAACCACAGAGTTCTCTTTTGGCGGCTGCATTGGTACTACCATCTTATCCATGTTCTGAGCGCACAGCCACGTGAACAGTACACGAACTTTACCAACCTCGTCTTTGCAAGGTTTAGTAAGATATTTGACAAGCTTGATTAGAGACCCTTTCTTCTTCTCATTCGGAACCTAAAATATAAAACACAAATTCGGTTTGTTTTGCCGAAATTCGTCCGAAATTAAAAAAAAAAAAACCCTTTATAATGTTTACTGATATAAACTGAGAAAAAAGGGTCCCAGTAATAATTTCATTCCTTTGATAACAATCAGAGTGATCAATGCATTTTCCAAGAGAACTTTATTCTTTATTTTTTGTTTTTGTAGTCCTTTGTTCAATCTATTGTGCGACAATAAGATGTCAGCTGAACGACACAGTCTATTGCGATATAGCTATGCAGTTTGAGGGGGAAAAGTCATTACGGGGATGCAGATAGAGAAATAAGTAGGGAAATACAGAGAATGATAGTTATGGGGAAGATTAGGATATTTGGTAAGGGATGTGTGTAAATTTTAATGAATTGGTTTTAGACACAGAACGAAGTAAGGGGATACAGAGTTGGTATCGATACAAAAAAATAAGTTGAGGGCATCGTGATAAGTGTACTGTGATATAGGCAATTTGGAATGACAATGCATGATATATATATAAGTGGTAAAGGAATACAAAAAGAAAGATGTCCAAAAATAGACAAAAATAAACAGAATTGAGGGAAAGAAGAGCTGGTGAGGGTTAGCTTTGATTCTATTGAAGATTATGCTGGTGTCAAGTGTGCGGCTCATTAGTCTATATATTAATACAATATTGCATTAACATACTATTTGTATTACAAACTTATGGCGACTGATAATTTACCTTCATGGCTCGTTTATCAAGATGTTCATATTCTTCCATATTGAAGATCTCCGATTTGGTGGTTGGAGGAACATGAGGAGGAGGACAAAACTCCAAAGGGCTTGGGTCTACCACGTAAAGACTATGGGTCTCCACGAAAATACTGTTCTTGTTAAATTGATAAGTCCCATACTGTATCACGGGGTCAGCAATTGTCTTCGACTGAAAAATGAAAACATATAACCTTTTAGATGTTTTGTATATATAAGATGAAACTATAACTTTGAAAATGTCTTTCTGACCCCATTTCTTCGGTATCGGTTAGTTAGGATAATGTATTATTTTTTTAAATGGTGAAATTGATTTTCCTGTTGCTTATCTATGCCAAGGGGAAAAAAATCATACGGAAGAGGCTGGAAACCCAAAATCTGAGGAAGAGAAGGAAGCAAATCAGTCCCGCTAAAAAGTAAATAAACAACCAGCCAAGGATGAGGATATAACTTTCGAAGGGGAATTTGAGTTTCTGAATTCGGAAAACGCTTGAAATCTATTGAAAATAGAAATTACAAGAATGAGCAATCTGTCCGCATTTAGTTTGAGCAATAAAAGTATCTATCAGATTAATGTCATCAGGGTATACAAACCTTCTGTGACCAAAATACAAGTACAAGATCTAGTAAAACAGTTTATAAACAAAGTCAAACTATTCCATACTTTGCAAAGAACATATAAATTATCAAATATATTAGTTTACTAATAGGCGTTTGATACGATCGATTTGTTATGCTTTATCTTTTCGAATTGTTGACAACATTACAAGAACATGCTTAAATTCCACATGTTCATGAGCTCATTCCTCGTCATTTGTTTCATTATGAAATCGATTATTATAAACATTATTAAAAATAGGATCTACTTGTATATTACAGTCCTTTTAATATGGCAAGGTTATTAATACGTTACGTTACAGTTTTGTGTAATTAAGTCCAGCAGTGTTTTCAACAAGTTAATGAATTAATATATTTCATTAGCTTATGAACATTAACATAATCAAAAGTATCATTCGAACTCAATAACCTTACTTGCATAAAAATTCATGTTTATATACACCGCATGGTAATGTGGTTTAAGTTAATCCTATTAACAACCAGTGGATATATATATAATAGACGACGACGGTGATCGGAGGGTATCGATAACAGAATTGATAATATCTCACCATGTCGTATTTCTGTTGTACGAAGTAATTCGTCCGTTACCTTATTTACACGATAAACTAATTTTATTCTTGCCATTGTTCCCATTTAAACTTGCATTGGGTATACTAGAGATCAGTTACAATGTTATGTCGGTATTGTACAATGTATAAGCCATTTTACGGTATAATAGTTTGGTTCAATCTTTATAAATGCGACATACATTCGGTCACATTTATTATCGCCTATTTAGAAGCCATTTTATAGTGTTTAATCTGCACATATAAAAATATAAATATCAGTGTGTGATTCGCACGTCTTTATGCTTGTGTGTATAAACATGAAGTAGCTGCTGTTTGAATTACGATTCTTTTACAACAGCATCGACCACCAAAACATAGATATCCAGAAAACCGCTTCAAAATATTACAAGTTATATACATAAATCGGAGATGACACATATTTGTACATAACTGAAAAAATGGGAGGGATTTTTTTAGACGTAAAATGATATGCAGATACGTGGAATGTATTTTAATTCTGAAGACATTCGTCACTTTCAATAAAAAAAAAAAAAAAATAAAAAAAACATCTCTGGAGTTTTACAATGTAAAAAATACCTGGTAATAAATGAAAGCTTTTATTGGTGTATTGTGCATGCTATGTATTCAGCAGAAAAAACGCAATGTTGTTAGCATGATCAGCTTGACGAATGGTTAGTGGAAAGACGTTTAAACATAATTTGATACCTTTTAAGGTAAACGTATTAAAATGTTCAAATATTTCTTTTAGTTCAGTAATAATTAAGCTGTTCTAAATCTTATTTTCAATTCGAAAAGAAAATTGCTATTTTATTGATCACATTACCATGCTAATGTAAGAACACGTAATGAAGATGATATTGCCACTATACTGTAACTGGCTTAATGTACATAATTTCCTGGTGATGTAGCGTCTAGATGCTGTCATGTACATTTCGATGTCACCAATTAAGCAATTAAGAGTAACTATATCGTCACCTTAAATTCTATATTAGTCTACCAAAATGCTGTTCTAAGGATGATTTCGAAAGTGTCACGATATCCAATACTGGATTACTTTGTACTACCACGCTAGACACACCCATAAGTTAATATTACTGATCCACGGAAAATTTGAGATAGTCCCTGCAACCTGACAAAGCTTTCTTACATTTTTATGCGATATATGTTTATTTGTTCATAAAATGTATTTTGGTGTGAGTAGCTGTATGCTAATGTAGCATATTTTCGCATTTTGTTCATAAATATTATTTACATTCATGTATTTTGTGGAGGCAAAATTGATTTTCAGGTACATCGGACCATTTTTCACAGCATCTGAAACCAACACGTGTATGCACTCGCTCAGTTACGATAATACTGCAGTAACTCGAAACAGCGCTAATAATAAGAGGTCCGATGTGCATGCAGCGCTCACCTGATATATATATATACCAGCCAAATATCATGTCTCTAGGCCTTTTAGTTCACGACAAGATGTCATTTAGATGTTGTTGTTGTTGTTTTTTTAATTATCCCGTCATTTTCTTTCGCAAACTTTGTCGGACTTTATCATAGGAACAAAGCAGTTCAATACCATGCTTCTTGGCTTACGAAATCATGAGAAGTTGTTCTCAAGTTTTAACTAATTTGACCCCTTTAACCTTGAATGTAAGAGACAAGGTCATTTCTTTCCGCAAATTTTGTCGGGCTTCATCATGGGAATTCATCCTGGGAACATACCAGCCAAATGTCAAGCGTCAAGGCCTTTTAGTTCGCCAGAAGAAATCATTTAAAGGTTTTAACAAATATGACAACTGTGACTTTGAAAATTGGTCAAGGCAATTTTTTTCGCAAACTTTGTCCGGCTTCATTTTAGAAACATACCAGCCAAATGTCAAAACATTTGTTCCATTGGTTATTGAGAAGTTTTTAAAGAACAAAGTTGACACCGGACGCTGCGCCACGGCATAAGCTCACTTGGTCCTTGTTGGTCTGTATTGTAGGATACACTTAACCATTTTGGTCTTTCGAAAGATATTACTATATGATACTTTAATCATTTGTCTTGTACCTTTTAGTTCGTTTGGTGTTATTTCTTTTTTAATCGCCGTGTCGTTCACTGGTTGCTGGCCCTAATGACCTTTTATATGCTGACGGGCCGTTGAAACGTAATAAAAATAACTTTGAAAGTTACATTTACTTCTTGGGTTGGTCTTCAAAGCTAAAGAAATGTTACAAGCAATGTTAAGAACATGTTTTTTTTCAACACTTATTACAAAAAATACTCATTTTGGACCAGACATTTTCCTGCAGGACACCAGCTGTTCAAGGTTGTAAAACCCTATCAAAATAGTCCTTAAGGTTCTTAAAATCATTTCCTTTCAAAAGACCAACATACTGTAGTTATGGTACAAGAAATGGTAGTTTCCAATATACCGAAATAGTGTCATTAAGATTGTTAACATGTTTTCAATTGTTTCCAAGGATGTATTAAATATTCATTCGTTAGGTATAAGTACACACACAACAGTGTGAGGGAAACAGTAAAGCACACGTAAGGCAGTATTTATCTTAAAAAAAAGCACTGCAACTTGAATTAACACATCCAACAATTGTATCTTCTAATATTTTTCTAATAAACTTCTAATATCTGTAGTATAGTACCAGATACTGTTATTATGATTGTCTTGTCTAGCGTCGCACTTACCTTCGGGTCATCTTTTTTAGTCCGGAGATTAACCCGGACACTCTGGCCACATCCCATAGCAAAAACTAAGAAAAGGGCTTACACAACTAAAAATATATAATGTATCGGCGAAGGACTTCCGTCACATTATAAGGAACAACTTTCACATTCTGTTTGTACATTCATCACCCAGAGTTTACATGTGTTTGGTTATGGAATCAAAACTGAATGGAATATAGTTTAATACAGACCCTATGTAAATCAAATTAACTTATCTTAAAATCAGAACATGTGCCAATATTAGAATGAATTAACTTTAGGTTCGGAAAGGGTTAAGTCAAATACGTCTCTACAAATAATGATTGTCATTTCTAATTGTTTATTTTTATTTCTTTTATTTTTCTTAAAGCAGATGTTCGGAAAAAAATCAATGATGGTTAACATTTGTGTTGAAAATGTATTTATAAACTGTCTGTCAGGAAATCGATGATACAATTTAGCCTTTTGGGGCCTTGCTTTATCGTATCATCGATGTTCCGGTTGTGGCTACCACTGTTTTACAATGTTTGGGTAGCGGACTAGAACGTTCTCGAAGTCAGGTTGTTGGGTTAACCTACCCTAGGTGTTAAATGTCTATATAACATTCAATACACGGGTCAATATCCATGAGAACATTAACCACCGAATTGTCTTTCTTTTTTTTTGGAAAAATTCTTTACAAAAGTGGTTTTTTTTTTAAGAAAGGGAGAATTTGTTTTCGATTCATGGCTAGATAATATATAATTAACACATAAAGGCTTTTTGATTAATTAATGTGAAAGTGGGCGCATGGTGTTTGTTATTGTTAATGTAGGGTTCTTCGTATTGTTACAGAATCAAGCTGACTTTTTCATATATTTTCAGATTTGTGCTACTTCACTGTGATATGGTTACCTGAAGCTGGTGCTGTTAAAACAATTACCGATCATACTAATGAGCCGAAATAGCTTTACCTCTGCTTAGATTGACAATGTTTTACATGGCAGGTGTCGTCAACACAACAGAATAGGCTTACCCTTTTCGAAACACTGGTCTTATTATCCGTGTGAATTTTTTTGGTTCATATTTTACCCTAGTTTTATTGAATTTGGATTATGGTCATGTTAACATGTTAGTGTTTTCTTGGGTTTTTTTTTACATGGTTTTTGCAACATCCGATATTATTGACCCGCTCAGTCTCGATTTGAAAAAAAAAAAAAAACATATCGCTGACCATAATGTTCTATGTATTTCTCTTAACGGTCTTTTATTTCCGGTCATTCCCAGTGGGATGTCTTTCTAGGTAAAAATTACCACCATGTATGTCACGGGTGTTAATATTATGCTTGATGCATGTTGAAAAAGTGCGCAAAAAACATTGTAAAATTAACTTTCTTCATTAGCAAATCTAAAACCACAGAAAAAATGATTAATGTGATAATTAAGAAAAAATAAAGTCAAAATTTCAGATTGTTCTATGTACGGAGACTTTACTAAATGTGCTAATACTAATTTAACTAAAACACCAGACAGTGGTTGCAGACCGATAAAACATTTAATATAAATTTCTCTAACATATCACTCACGACAATATTATCAACCTTTCACGGTAGAATTTTTCTATTTATAGGTCATGACAATCGACCTGGATAACATTTTAAGATTTCTCATCACGTGTCAAGTAAAATAACACATCAGCCCCAGGCAGTGACTATAGAAGACGACCAAACCTTTTGATACACATCGTCGGCGGGACACGGGAGCGACAACAACCATGGACTACCTTATAGTTTTGATGATGTGTATGCAGGGATGCTATGGGCTTAAGATGGTTGACCTGACTTATGAACTTGATACAAATGCGATCACCTGGCCGTTTAATCCACGCTTCAATATGTCAATCATGTTCCGAGGAATGTGGAACCATTTAGTATGGTAAGTTTTACTCACGTTTCTCCCATCGGTATACATATACGTATTTACTTCAATAAAGATGGAAACTTTTTACCTGCACAAGCATTGAATATAATTGTTTAATTTAGTTTTTTCTCGATAAGTTTTGGATAGGTTTGTAACGGGAACAAATCTGAAAGCTGAGACTGATTATTGTTCGTATACCGGAAAATAGGCTGGACAATATTTTTGTTTATACTTGCATCAACATATATAGATACAGCTAACCTAAATTTACACCAATTATTTTACAGCAATGGTTCTCTAACTATTATTGTGAGTAAAATGAGGTGCTAAATAAGACCAGGAACAAATCTACGTTACAGTTTGTGATAGCCAGTGACAGAGAATTTATGATCATAATTTACTGAAGTGACTGCTCAAATGGCAAAAAAACATACATTTGGGTTTAATTGCTCGAGCTACAACTAGTGCGTCCCGTAGATTGACCCCAATATTATAATGAAGACAGAGATATGCATACTTCAGTAAACACGTCTAAATGACTGATATATTCATGATTTTTGTATTGAGAAACTAATGTTTCACTTTATTTTTCAACAAACAATTAGCAAAACAAATGCATCAAAGAGTTTTGTAATACCGGTTATAGTCATTTGATAATTAAAACAAAAGTTAACGGTTAAATGTAGATATATGATAAATAATCGCCTCATCAAATCCAGGATAATTTTGAGATGGGTTTCATTGAAGTAGTTCCCCTCAATAAACAGCATGTGGGATGTCCACCATACGATCATGATATCTGTTGTACTTAAGGTGAACGTGATCTCTATTATCGTATATTTATCTGTACATAATCATGTTTCAAGTCATTAGCGTGTAGTCATTGATAGTTCTTCATTCATTGGTGATTTATAAGTAGAAAGTAGGATTTGTACAACTTTCCATCTTAATCCCTCCGTTGTGAAGCCAGGATCCTGGACAAACCAAGTGATTCTAACAGAGAAATGAAGTTAAAAGAATTATGCTTCCTGACCCCATTTTAACAAAAATATGCCTTGAACCAAATTTGATAACATTATGACAACCATAGAGGGTTATTCGGTCTTTTCCTCTTATTGCCCCTAACGAGATCCGTTAAGGATAATTCAGACCAAAGTACATGGAAATAGGATCCGGCGACTCATTTAGAAGACTTTTTTTTTAATCCAAAATTTCCCCTATTCGGCAATGTCCTTCAGGTTGAAACTCAGGTTTAAATCAATCCCCTCTTCCCACATGATATGTTGTTCCTAAGTCGGAAAAACAAACATTAAAAAAAACAAATATCCAGTAAGGTCCCTGCCTCTCGTCATCCGAGTGCCCAGACCCATCTTTTTTACATATAGCTAATCTGTTCCAACATTATGATCACCATTTTGCAAGACTATAAGTACATTTCATGCTATTAAATTGACTGACGTCAGGACGTGAAGAAAACTATCTCCGTATAATAATGGGCGCGGTGAGGTGTTGTCTACACGTATAATTGAATTTCTTTTGTCCGCCGATATCATGTATCATCCGAAAAGCATAGAAGTAAATAACACATCCCCCTGAGGCTTTTATTGAGAAAACACTCTTCTCCAAGTTTGTAGTAACTTACCTTGGTGAGAACTGATACACAAGTATAATACCCGTGCGACATTTATGTACTCAACCTCGAGATAGAAAGGAAATGAAAGCCTACATCAAAGGGTAGTGCTTGATGCCTGAATTCGTTTTGTTGTTGTTAGGTCGTCCATCCAAAAATAAGGTGGCTAATGTAGTTACCTTTGCTTCTCAAATTGTTAGAGTTATCTTAAATATATCAAACAGTCTTTTTCCAGCACAACTGGTTCAAAAATGTCAAATAGTTCAATTATTGATAACAATCAAACCAAAACTATTCATGTCAAAATGTTAAAGTATTAATGGATGTATTGTCATCAAAATGTCCACCCGTATATTTCATATTTCTGGGGGACAGTGAGGGTAAAGCCATCTTTGTAAAATTTTGGAGCAAGTCTCATGTTAAATGAAGTCTTCGCAAGTGTCTTTCAAGCAGTGATGGACCACCAATATGACGAGTTGTCGATTATTAAAACAGTGAGAAAATTAATATTATTTTTGTCCTTACCTACACATTATCAACTCAGAGAAATGTTAACACCCATTCATCCATGTTTTTAATTATTAGTGTTCTAAAATCATATTTGGTTAAATTACATTTTCTGACTTCAATGTCGGATTTCTTATACATGTATAATAAATATTCTTACGAAAACAATTAAATAGCCCCCCCCCCCCAATGTAACAAAAAATCCAAAGAGAGGGAAACAATTATCTGCTAGATAAGTTTGCCGCCAAACTCGACAAATATATTTTCGACCAGAAATGAGAACATTTAACAATTTCCTCGGTATATTTCTTCTTTGATTTGTAAGTATTGTTCAGAAAATACGCTTTAATGCAGTTCACGGCCATGCACCTGTACTTCTGTTAATCCTTTAACGAAGTATTTTTAGTTTTGAATTGAATATTGTGGGTAGTGTTCTTCATGTAGTAGCATTATCTTCTTATTATAACAATGTTTTGTGTTTATCGAAATCACATCATCTCTTTCCTCATAGTATGTTTCCTGTTATATATCAGATATAAAAATGTATATTTAACTTATACTACTCGGTTTTAACAGTGCATACTTCTAAATCTAAATGATTATTTGCAAATATTAGAAAGTAGTATTCACAATCAAAATAAAAGACAAAATGTATATTTTTCTCTACAAAGTCTTTTGAAGAATTGGCCGAAAACTCAGCCACATGTATATGACATAAACAAAACTTTGTCTCAATATTTCAAGGGTCACTTATCAAGTTGCAATATTCAATCCTCTCAATCATTACAGTAGAAATACAGAAATTGTATACAACAAGAAAAGAACAAAACATATAGACCTTTTCCGTGGTGATGAGTTAACTTGTATTTTAGTTAAAATCACGGATATGGTTTTATAAGTACATTGTACATGATATCAAACATCATAACAGTGGTTTGTGTTTTTATTGATGATTAAAGGAAATTGCAAAAACACAAAATGTGAAATGATTATAAAAACGTGATGAGATCATTTTTCTAGAAGAATATATTGTGAAAATGTCTTAATGATAAAAAGTATTCAGCCGTTCGTTATTTCAACATTTTGCAGCTTCGGGTGTCCAGAGAAGGAGAGTACAGAAAGAGGAGACGGGAAAGACAGGAAAAGATCGTGATATGTAGTGTTGCAATGAGAGCAACATTTCTATTTCGGTCTTTTCAATGTCTGATAAAGAGGGGAATTTAATGGACTCCTACGTATTTCCAGACTATCCGATGTCCCTTAACACATAACATCGGGGAAACCTTCACCGACCTTCTCACAGGTTATCTTAAAGACGATTGTCTCACAATACAAGAGCGAGATAAAACAGGAATATTATTCCCCTTTCAATTTTTACCTGTGGCTCCTGAGACCGAATTTATATGTAACGCATACCATTTGTTTTATTAACACTTTTTTGTTACGTTTGTTATGTTTACATTGTCCTTAACAAAATATTTTTGAAGTATTATTTGATGTCTTATTTCAAAGTAACAAAGTTAACTGAGGTCGACAAATTCAACAGCAATATTATATAATTGCCTCTCATTTCTCTTCATTACTCCGTTTCAAATCCAGCCTTGAAGCTTTCTGCACTTTCCGTTTTTGGCTCATTTAAAGTGATAAAAACTGAAATCAGCCCTTTAAATCAGTTCACAAAAGATTAAAGTTTTAGTCGTGTGGGGATCTGGTTTCCGAAAGCAAGCAAATCTACTCCACTGATCACTGACATTAATACCACTAGACTTTACCTCCCAGATTATGTCTCATCACAGATTTCATAACCAGTCAGATATGTAAATTATTCTGAAATGTGTTTAGTATTTTATTATTTAACGTTTTATTTCAAATGTGTGAATAGCACTTTTAAAATAAGAAAATAGAATTTGATACAAAAGAGGCAAATACTGAATTTAATTGCATCATACTGCTGTTTCGTTCTTGGACTTAAATTGCTCAATCGAGTGAAAAAATAAAACAAATAAATTGTCAAAACCAGATGAGGTGTACCAAATCTTAAACGAAATTTATTCAATAAAAAGAGAGAGAGAGAAAAAAAAAATAAGAAATTCATGTGCATGTCCGGCTATGGCATTTTGGTGTATTGGCACATTAAAAGTACTACCGAGTATCCTGGAACACGGACTTTTTATATCACAAACCATCCAACAATTACGGTATATGTGCACAACGTGATGAAGTATCAAATAAGCTTTTTTTCTCTTTTGTAGGCTGGAAAACAACCGACTCGATCTAGCTGAGCACACCGGAACACATATAGACTCTCCAAATCACGTTGCACATGGGAAAGGACCATGGAATAATCACCAAATACCAATAGAACGCCTTGGAGGTCCCGGTGTTATCATTGACGTTAAATCGAAGGCCGAGGCAGACAGCGACTACCGGGTAACTGTGGATGACGTCAAAGCCTGGGAAACGCGCAATGGAAGAATACCTTATGGAGCAGTTGTCCTTATGAACTCCGGTTGGCAGAAATACTATCCAGACTATAACGCAGTTTTCAAAACCAACAACATCAGTGATTCAGGAAGCTACCATTTCCCAAGCTGGCACGAGGACGCCGTTGATTGGCTGATATCACACCGAATAGTGTATTGTGTCGGCGGAGACACGCCCTCAACAGACTATGGTCAAAGTGAGACATTCCCTGTCCATCTTCTTCTCAGTAAGGAAAATATTATTGGCATTGAGAACGCAGCATATCTTGACAAATTGCCTGAAAGTGGCTCAACCATTTTTGTTCCAGTGGTGAAGATAAGAGATGGAAGTGGAGGTCCAGCTCGAATGTTTGCGACCTTACCAGAGGACGAAGAAGTTGAGTCCAATGTGGCGGACAGCATTTTAATGTCACCAATGATCCAATTGTTGTCATTTATGTTGATCGGAGCTATTAATACACGATGAATGTCCAAATAATTGTCAAACATAAATGAATGAGATGCACATATGTGCAATTAACACCTTTCTTCTTAACATCCCATTCAAAATATATAGCAAGAAAAACAATGTTATGACTGACTTTCAAACTACATATAATTGGTTTCTCTTATTACATATATATATTTCAAATTATTTCGTTCATCTGCTTACAAGTTTTTGTCATTAGACTTAACACTATATCATTAATATATTAAATAAATTAGAAAAAAAACCACAAACTAATCTTTTGATTTTCAATATCAGCGATAACATGTTGTTGATGATCACCAAGTTTCTTAAAGTCATAGGATTATAGTTGCCTTTAAACAAACGCAGTATTTGCTATTTTGTGTTTGCGTATAACGACACTTTTCTGTGAGAGTTACCTCCCTTATATGGATGTACTACAAAAGTTTCTGTGATGCGAATGATTGTCCTATTTCCTATTTATTTGTCTTCCCACATAATTTTACGTAAAAACAGTATACATTGCAAGGTGTAAACTGATCTGGTTTAAATGCTGTGGCTATGCAAATATCTGAGTACAAGAGGAGCCATTTACAATCTACTGTTCTCACTCTCGCGAGAATAGGACATTATATTGATTTCTACATTTTCATATTTTACTTATCATTCTTCAAAGAATGTAATTAAAATTTTAGATAATCAAAGTATATTTACATAACCAAAACCTCATTTCGCCGCGGGTCCTCCACTGCCTCGAGATTACATCTGTACGGAATACTGCCAACGATTTTCGGACCATCAAATAATCAAGGCAACATATACGAGAAGAGAGTTTCTGATTGTATTTCCATACTGTAGTCTTGAAAAAGGTCCGCTCTTATAAGCTATCGAAATCTTTACTTATGTCATGTAATAGAGTTCCAACCCCTTGTCCTTTATCGTGGAAATCCATAATGATCAAATATTCTAGAACAAAATTTGGTCAATACTTAAAGATTATCCCCACTCTCGCAAAATTTCGTTCTATCAATATTTTAAATGTACGTTTAACCTAATAATTTTTCATGAGGAATAGTGATAGAAGATGTTGGAAGTTTTATAAAATTTTGAAAAGCTCATTAAAAGTAGCGATGTAAATTAGAAAGATGAATAATTCCATCATGTTGGGTTACCACCATACTGTTAATTTCGAAAAGGAAATTAGAATGGAGAGGATCGACAAAAATGAATGAAATAGAGGTAGATGAAAAGTAAGTATTTAGACGTTTGCCATATCAAATGAATGCTTAAGCAGTAAGTCTTTGTGGTTTAGAGTGGGTCGCTGCCAGTTTTGCTTGTGGCCATATTTAAAGATTTCCTTATTTCTCACACCACTTTTTCAGGTGGTCATTTAATGCTAATGCAGCTTTGGGGAATCACACATAACACCAACATGATAGTTTGTATTTAATATTCCGACAAAGTGTGAAAAACCTTCAAAACAAAAAGAAAATAGAAAAAAAAACTATCGCCAAAGCTTAATCGGTACATAGGTTATCAGTTATTCTGAAATTTGAAAATCTGAATTTTCACATACATTGTGAAACACAAATGTGTCATATCATACCATTTTATAGACAAACTGTGGTACAAACACTCAAATCCAATTTAATATTAGTCCTATCATGCAAAGATACAAAATGAGATACACCGCTCATATGAAAACAGTTTACATAGCAAAGAAAGTTATGATATATCCAAGTAAAGTATTCACTAGACCTTGAAAAGGCCATCATAAGTAATGGTAGTGGTAACACAATACCTTACTTCAGCTAAAACAGTGACAATACTCAGTCAGCTTAGTTAGGTACATAAAACATTTCTTACTTTAACGAAAATCTTTTATCAAACACACTGTAGTAACACCAGACCAGCCTAGCGAGGTACATGAAAATGACCTCATTTTAACGAAATTCTGTTAACACAGTGTGGTAATACCACCGCGGTCTAGTGAGGTCTAAGAAAGTTACCTCGCTTGAGCGAAATTCTGTTATCAGATAGTGTAACACCATAGCGGATGAGCGAGGTACGTAAAATTTTCCTGAGCTGTGTGTGCTTTGTCAATGACCTGAAGATCGCGGAGTCAACACACTTTGAACAACAGTACGGCTTGAAAGTGGGGTACATAATAAAAATGTCATGTGACGCTGAAATTTAATTTCCTACGCATAATCCGGGTCGGCAAAGCGAGGTAAAGTGGAAAAGTACGCCGCTTTTTTCATACCTCACAACGTGACCTCGAACATTTATGAAAAGGAACATAGACAGTACAGTAAATGGCGTGAAAGACAACGGTATCACACCTGTACACCTATTTTGGTACAATGTACAGATATAAAACACTGGGTTATGTTATCCAGAATGAATTCAGGTTATTTTTTTTTTTTTGTTGTCTTATTACGTTAATCGTGTTTTTTTAAAACTAATTTTTTAATTATAATTATTTTTATTATTACATTCTTAACGGCCTGTTAACACATAAAAGGTCATTAGGGCCATCAAACGGTAAAACATACAGCGACCCAAAAAGAAATAACATTAAACAAACCAAAAGATAAAAGACAAATGTTAATAATCTGCAAAGGGTATGTAACACAAATGATTAAAATGGTACGTCATAGTCAATTATATAGACCAACATCTTTCAGGTAATGTAGATTTTTACAAATCTTGACAGTTTCAAAAAGGATTTTTAGACATGTAATGTTACGATGTAATGTGACAGAAGGTCACTGCAGTCCAATAAAAATGTTTAACGGCGAATGGCTCATCACATCCCATGCACCAAGTATTATTTTCGCTCTTCAACATATATGAATGTGTAAGGTATGTATGATCAATCCGAAGACAGGCAAGGACAACTTCGTCTTGGTAGAAATGAAAGGGTGAAGAGTGAGGCCACATAGGGTAAATAGAGGATGTTTTTGTTCTGTTTGAAGGAAAGTAATTGAACTAAATCTGGTCAGCACGTCCGCTCGATAAAGGGCTATAATTTTGTATAAATTGGGAGCATCGATTCTCCCAATCGGTTTGTCTCCGTTGGGTCTGGAGATCTAGGCCGATTTGGGGAAATATATCAATCTGTTAAAGTTCGCTATCAATCTTCATTAGAAATGTCGTGATTTTATGCAAGCAAGGTCTGGTCCAGCATTCTTTAATGAAGGGGACTTAATTTTTTCTACAAGTTTAAAGATTGCACGTCCAGTGTTCGTGTCAAAAATACCTAACTTAACGTTGATATTTTAAAGTTACCGAAAGGCCATTCAGAAATATTTTTTTATATATCGTTCACCGAAATTAACTTCTTAATCTATAAACACCGAGCCCTACCGAGTATCATGAAGCTCGCAATGGTATCTGAAAGACTAGATCATATACGAAAGGTTTACGGGTAAATTGTTTTCGCCGCAGTAGTGATCTAGCACAATAAGGAAACAAACCGTGTAATAGGGTAGACGTGCCTACATGCCGCCAGTGTGTAATACAAAATATTTACAGAAACCATGATGCAATGCATTCAGCATGTTATCGTTTTATGCCTGCTTATTCATATGTCTGGCAGTCTGAAAATTGTCGATTTGACATATGGACTAGACAGTGGAGCGATTACCTGGCCGTCTAATCCAAAATTTAACCTGACCTATTTGTACCGTGGTGCATTTGGCCATGTCTGGTAAGTAACGCATTGTCTTCATTTTTTCATAAACGGTCCGCTATTATGTTATGTATTTCTATTACTAATGTTTACATGTTTTCAGAAACTTACCAGAAATAGATAAATGATAGAACTTTGTTTAATCAGTATTGTTTGCATTGGAGCATTGAAAAAAAGACTTCTCCACTTGATAAATTACACTGTTGATAATAAATATTTGAATCAATTTGTAATCGATACGTGACTTCAAACTGCGCAGGGAATATAAATTCTTTTAATAAAGGCACTGAAAGTCATTATGACCTCAATGGTCTTTGTTCAAGGTTTTCGGGGAAAAAAAAACACATACTGCGCAATACAGTTGCCTGCCAAGGTATGTAATTCATAACGACCACTAATGCTATAGCAAAACGGTAACTAACGCATACATAACGAATGTTATCAAGAGATGTCATACAGGTGAAAATGGACAAAACAGGCCCGAAAACCAAGGAGTGGCTAACGTCAAAACACTTACATACACATAAATAACATAAACAATTTAAAAAAACAACTGAAAATAACAGAGTGCCCAAGGTAAGTCAGATCTTCTAAAACATCTTTAAAATATCCAAGGATGGTAATATGGTTGCCATTTCAAAGAGAGTGCTGTGCATCAGTGTATGCAAATGTTCTATTACCTACAAGTACATTGTATTATCAATCCGAAGACGATGTAATGGAAGTTGACAGTAGTCATTTTGTCACCGAGTCATTAAACGACACGGTTTTTAACTTTTTCTTAAACACAAGTCAAACACTAGAAATCGAGTCGATGATACAGATAAAAGGATCAATTTTAACTATATATGTTTCATTTTCGGAGCTGACAAGGTGAGGTTATTCACCCCAGTTTTCACATAATCGACCTTAGATGTTTACATGAGATCTCGTCACACACTATGCATCCTTTCTGTTGGTTCGGTGTATTAAATATATTATCAATTGTAAGCTGTGCAATAATGCACATGAAACCCGTAGTAGATTTCCTATTGCTGGTAAAAACTACTCGGCCTTGAATCAAATTTGTATGGTATGATTAGTCCTGCTTTATGTACTAGAATAGCATGTAAACAAACAAGAGGGAAATTTCATAACAGGTTTTAACTAACACCAAAACACCGCTATAGTATTTCGTTTCTTACATAATCAAACCACATTCCTATTTTGAAAATTAATACTTGTTTTTTTTTAATGTAGTAAAGCGTCATCCGTAGCACTTTCCGTACGATTTGAGGAACATTTCCGTTGTGTCTGTGTCTAAGATAGCATAACAAGCGTGTACAGGTTATAGATGTATCTTTTATTCAGGAGCATGTAAACAACGACTTGTGACAAATTGATACAGTTCGAAAGAGCAATTATCGTTACTAGTAGCATAGTGAAACACGCACCATGATACAAATATCATCAAAGAAGTTTCAGGTAGTCAACGACTCATGTAGATTTCTAAAGGAACACTCGGACGCGTTAAAGTGTACCACGAACGAAAATAGAAATCAATATATGACTATTCAAAGTCGACCAGTTTAATACAGAGCTATTGACTAGTTAAGTATCCGTATTCTCCTGTCCTATTTATTTCGAAAACAGCCATTATACACAACGTCAAATTGTATGGTTTTGATGAGAAATTTGTCGAATTAACGAACTTTGGGGGAAATAAAATAGAATATTTGTTGTTGATCAAAAATTAGTTTTCTTTATTTTAGATGAAACGTCACTGTACAATAATTTCACTTACTTTACAGCGAGACAGTTCTTCGATATCACATCGTTGAACAGCGATACTTTGTGCTCGTTTTCAGAGCTAGATTTTTCGTGTTTGCAATGTCATATACCGTGGTACCACTACATTTTTTTTCTTTTGGATGTTCTGATGTGTTAGATAAACTTAGAAACCCTTTAGACTTGTTTCGCATAATCTTTTAAATGAATACTTCACGTGTACGTTCTTTGTCAGACGGCCAAGCGTTGACTTGAAATCAATACTTATGTAGCTGAACGACATGGTAATTCATTAATGTCAACGTATATTAAGTGGAAATTAAACAGGAGTCCGGTAATATCACATCTACAAATGATCGTGGTTGGTCACTTTGAAAATTGCAACGACAGTATCTAATAAATGATCATCGAAACCGCTAAACTGACCAGGCTTCAAATGTGTAGCACTTTTTGTGAAACTTGAATCCTTACATTTTCAAGGCGCAATACAAAGCACATTCCTCATATTACCAAATCACGACTGTAAACACAAACGAAAACATTCCTCCAAATGAATGACACCTAGGGTAAAATATTTAGGTCATTCCTCATATTACCAAAGCACGACTTTATACACAAATTTAAGTATCCCTCAAAATGAACGATATCTACCGTAACCTATTTCGGTGGCTGGCGCAAACGATGAGTTAACCGGATTTGTGTAATATTAAAGTTTAAAGTATGCTTATTTTTTATTGAACTGCAATAACCTTCTGTCTACTCGAGAAAAGTTTTATCATAACGTTACAAGTCTAAAAACCCTTTTTGAAACAGTTGAGATTGATAAAATTCTAGGTTTTCTGAAAGATGTTGGTCTGCATTATAGACTAATGGATTGATCAATGTTTACATGACGGATGTCATCGATGAAACAAAAGACGTTTACTTTTTAGAACACCTAGTCTTATTCTACTGGTATTTTTTCACGAATCTCCGTGTAAATCTACATTTTGCTCATATTTTGTCCAAGTTTTTCTTTATTTAATATGAGTTTGAATTATGATTATGTTGCCATGTTGGCATTTCTTGATGATTCATGCAGGTTGGTATCACAGCCACAATACAATTCTTAATCTACACATGGTAAAAAGTGGCTCCACGTTAAATTGGTGATAACTGTGGACATATGGATCACTATTCCCCCGAAGAAGACTGGCACTGGTTTGCTTGGATGCAATACACCTTCCTGATGGTTGTTGTTGTCTCTCTTTGTGGATCTGATCCAAAATATCAGTGTCGCATCTATATCATGATCACCAACCCTTTACAAAACAGTCATGGAAATATATAAATAATGATAAAAGTTCACAAGCACTATATCCCATACTACCGAGGAAAGTAACACCCAGTTAAATAACTACTGTTTGCATAATTACTGAATATACATATTGACTTTATTGATCCATATATATATTTGATATAATGTACTGTTACAACGTGTGCGTGTATTCAATTAATCATCATTACGTGTCTATGGCATTAAATAAGCTATATCTATATAACAAGTTATTATAGATGTTACTATATAACCTTTTCTATGTACAAAGGTAAAATTTAAGGAATACTATTTACAGCAATGATATCAACTGTCAACACTAACAGATAGCTACCGTAATATATGCAAAAATGTGTATTGTGTTTACCTGTAGAACCACCGTTGCATAACGCATATGCTGTCTACGAATGCTGAAAAAACAAACATAATTTGCTCTTAGCAAGCACTATAAATACATCTGAATATTGTCTTGTCGATGTATATGTACATTCACTAAACTTGGAGCTATATATACAAGCACGTATATGACGGTTTACAACATGATGTTGTAATCACCGTCTCGCCCCGATTATCAGTAATAGGCGGTGCAGGTACATAAACTTGCTTATTGTGGTCATTTACCAGAATCTTTTGTATCGATATAGCATTTAAAATTACAAGCTAAACAGTGATGACTTACCGAATTTCATATATGCATGTGCCTGTAGTCTTAAAAATCTCAGAAATTATGAGATGTACTTCTACACATGGATACCAATCGATAACAAGCGCAAAATTTAATACCTCTGAAGGAGCTGAACCCGGGAAAATAAACAGCAATATAATAAAGTAAGAAACTAAAGATTTAAATTAAAATATATATATATATATATATATATATATATATGGTATGACTTGTCTTTTTTCATGCTTGCTATTGTTGTGGCAATGTGAAGGTACATTGAACAAAATTGTTAATGCGATAATTTGATTGACGTTATTCACCGTTATAGATAATTTTCATTGAGTTAACAGTCAGAGAAAATATTAAGCATAAAAAAATAGCCGATAGAAGCTCCATAACTAACCACAATATGGGTTGATTAAATTGCCTTCATTTGTTTTGTACGATTCAAAGGTCAGCTGCGGAATCAAGATTTTCTGTCAGTCTTCCATCATTGAAGAGAAAACTGAATCAATCTACTTTCCACTCTTTGTTCCTTAAGACAACCGTCCCATACATCTCTTGCTGTTGTGAGGACGTTAAACCCCGTAGAAATAAATTAGTTAAGCTAAAACCAAAACTTCTTATTTTAGTAATGAACTTTGTTATATATTCGTAATGTAGTCGTATCAAAATATGTTTCAGGTTGGAAAATAACCGAATCGATCTGGCCGAACACACGGGGACTCATGTGGATGCTCCGATTCACTTAGCGTTAAATTCAGGAGGTTGGAAAAATCATCAGATTCCAATCGAACGATTGGCGGGTCCAGGTGTTATAATTGATGTAAAATCTCAAGCTGAGGCGGACATTGACTACCGAGTCACGGTCGATGACGTCAAAGCTTGGGAAAAACGCAACGGCAAAATCCCATATGGAGCGGTTGTTCTTATGAACTCTGGGTGGCAGAAATACTATCCAGATTATAATGACGTTTTTAAAACCAGCAATCTCAGTGACAGTACCAGTTACCATTTTCCAAGCTGGCACGAGGATGCCGTTAAATGGCTAATATCAAATCGTGTTGTGTATTACGTCGGTGGAGACACACCATCAACTGACTACGGTCAATCGCTGACCTATCCTGTCCATTTTCTTCTCAGTAACGAAAACATAATTGGTATAGAGAGCGCAGCATATCTTGACAAACTACCTGAGAGTGGATCAACCATCTTTGTTGCCCTGATGAAAATCATAGATGGAAGTGGAGGCCCAGTTCGGATGTTTGCAACTTTGCCGGAGGATGATGATGATAAAGAGTTCAATACTGCGGTTCGCTTTTGGTTGTCCCCGATTCTATGGATAGTTGCTTTTCTGCTTGCCGAAGAATTGTTTTTCTCAGCATGACAATCAGTATAGCATGAAAAGAGGAACCTTTCTCTCCTTCTACGTATTCAATGACTGCTGTTTCTTGAACATTACGAAATATTCCAGGTTAAAACTGCACTTTTATGATCAGTTGAGTCGCGGATTTCTGACTGAATTATTAGCATTTATTACCAATATTTTACTTGGAAACCAACTTGATAAAATTTGTGGTACGACACATCTAAATTTTATCTTGGACTACATTGACCTTGTCTACTCGAAAGAAAATTTATCGTAATGTTACAAGTCTGAAGACATTTTTGAAGCTGTTCAGACTTAAGGAATTCTAGGTTATCTGACTTACTATTTTAATTTTTGTGATAATAAGGCCATGAATTTTAGTATTTGTCTCTTACCTTTTAGTTCGTTTGATGTTATTTCCTTGAATTACTGGCTGAAACCTAAACATGATGTTTATACTATATATTGATATGTTTCATAAGAAACATGCTATAATATGCAACGAAGTCCGCTTAATCGATCAAAAAAACATGTTGCATGATAAATTGAATACATGATTAGTGTCTTTAAACAGAAGCGATTTGGTTTGGAACACAACTACGAAAATGACCATCGCAAAAAATTAGGTGTATATTTGAAGAATCTTTACCCTTGTTTCACTCTTAAACATTTATGTATCAATATGTTTCAACCTTATCACAAATAATTGTCATGTAAAGTTGCTTTTAGGTCCTTCTCCTAGTAGTGTTACCGAAAATTAACACACATTTTGTGCGCAATGATGTATTATAACGTTATTATATAGTCCATGACAAACGCCTATTCATTTTCAAAATTGGCAGAGTTCTCTCTTCATGGATAATATTTCTTTCTGTGAAATATTCTGCAATGCTTTCTGTTGTGCCATAACTATTTTCATGGTCAGAAAGAGATGAAAGTCTTTTAGATACAACTTTTCACTAATAATTGTTATTTTTTAATAACCAGTATCGATAGGAAATGGTAGGAGACGTAATTGCTTTGCCACTTGATATACATTAAAGTACATTTTTTTCTTGTGTAAAATCATTTAATTGCTCGCAATTTAATCATGATTATTTAAACAGTTGAATGTTATCCATTTATAATTTTTATCAAAAATGCTGTACTATATGTCAAATAAAAATGGCCAGTACGACATTTATTTTCTTTTAATGTGTTAAGTTGGGTTAATTTACTTTTCTGGTTTTGCATATACCAACTTTTCAATTATACAGGTAATTTAATGTATTCTGGAGTAAACGTGACTCATAAACCATGTTGTTTGGTCGGATAACAAATGTTGCCAGGCAGTTAAATATAATACACAAACTTCGTTTAAAATACCATTTTCTATCAAATGTATTTTAATGGCAATATAAGATATACATATCATGTTCTACTTTGAATGTTGCTGCTGAAATAAGACCATTTCCTCATTCATTCATTTATGATTGTAAAACTAGCTGCATGTACATGTCAAAGTGCATCAAAGAGATGGCTCCCATTTCATTAACATTTTATCCCCATGTTCTTCTAGTGTCATTTGATCTAACACTTAGTAATGATGTTCAGGAAAGGTAACCGACAATATATGTAGCGTTGACATTGGGGAAGGGTCGGATTCTCATGATGTACATTCTGATGTCGTCGTAATGGGGTTACAATACTTGGTAATCTGGTACAAGTGCATGATCTGATATTGATGTGATTTGGCAGTGACTGGGTTGACTTGTGCACTTGGTAAACTTACTCGGTTAAAATCCTCAAATACTATTATTTGGGTTTATCGTGACTTCAGACATGTTTGTTGTTGCGGACTTATCACCGTCATCACCTTGTTTTAAAATTATTATTATTACATAGTTTAACACTTCAAAAATTGACATTCCATCAAGTTGGTTATTCTACACGTTATCCACAGCCTTCAGCATCACACCAATGTAACTATTTGGCAGATCTATTTATCACACGTTGACAGACTGGTGAAGTCAATCGCATTCTCAGGCGTTATCACGCTTACAATGTCAGTCTGGCTACAAGTGCTAGATTTGCCGGTCGGACGTTATTGGAGATCCTAGTTAACTAACCTAGTCATCAATAAGGTCATGTTTAAACAATCGGGAACGATCTAGTGCTGCCGTCGGGTTTTTGTATTCCTCTTCTTCCTATAAAGTGGATCACAATATTCCCGTCGTACCTTGTAAAAAATCAAACCAGGTATCATTGACTTGATAAAAAGCTTAGTATGTTACAATCATCAGTATACTACAGAACAATATTCTTTTTCGCTTCTTGCGGTTTATATGATAGACAGTGGTATATCTAATATTTAATTTAGAAGACTTTGAAATATTATAACAAGGTTAAGTTTAACAAATTTGAAAGAACAGCACACAAGTGTTTTAATGAAATTATACATTATGTTGTGGTTAGTTTCAGGACTATTGCTGCAATCATGACAAGAATTCTGACACACACCACAGCCAATTTACTTCCATGTAAAGCGTCAAAAAATGCAATTTCTCTGATATTCATAATGATTTTAACGGTAAAAAGAATAAAAGGAGAATTGTTTTCTTTAACAACATTCGGTGTTTAGATATTTTATCATTAAACATTGCAAAACAATTCATGGAATATGTCTTGCAACCCAATGCTGTTTTGACCTCAGGAATATCAACTGGAAATCATTGTTTGGTCTTTTTGTTTCCTTTTAAAAGTTTGAGCTTTACCCATAGTCATGTTCTTTGGGAAGAGTATACAAAATTATCGATCAATTCAATATTCAGCATATACTAATAAAAGATGAAGACATGTTAACTACGAGTAAGAGAAATTATTATTCTACAAATCCATTATTGTAATATATGTCACATGGTAGCAAGTAGAGTAAACATAAATGCTGTAATGGCTATTATCTACTTCTTCTAATTTGGATCAGGGAATGAAATTTATTCAATGAAATCGATGTGTGCATGTGTCTTCATCCAAGTGGAGACGTCTTGTCATTCAAACATTCCAAATGTGCTCAGATCATAGAGACTTGCGTAAGACTACACAACAAATCAGGAGAGAGCTCAAAAAGGGGTATCGTGGTGAATTACACCGTGGGAAACAGGTGAACAGAAATGCACGAGAGAAAAGGAAGACTAGGAAACAGATTTTAGATTGTCAAAATATTAATGCAAGATATGCATTTGTGAGAGATATTGTGTGATATTGATAGTGAGATATTTTAAACAAACTGTTATTGAAGGACATTTAAATTTAAATTAATTTGAATGATATTTAGGCATATCATTAGCGAGAAATATTGTGACATTGAGTGAAATAAAACAGGTAGGATATGTAACCGCATAAGAAAAACGACAAAGAACTGTTTTTTTTTTTTTTTTTTTTTTGATAAATGACATACAGTTGGCTTATTCAGAGAAAACGTTCCCATTTTCAGCTGCAGTCTCAACAGCCAGGGTAATCCTTTCTAAAGAGACGGCTTGCCGCTCTTCAATGTTCAACATTTTTCTTTTAAGCTCCAAGTCATATATAAGACATCCCACAAGGAAAGGTCATATTGTTAAAATTTCCAATTTTTGGATAATTACATTTTTAACACTACATGTCATTGAAATCAGCAGAATTTTATATTTTTATCAAAATCATGATAAAATATGAATAAATCAAATATTGTGTGAACTGGTATTTCCAGCATGTAAACTATCTTTCTGTACAGTTCAGCCATTACTCTCCAGAAAAATTAGGGCTAAAAAATCTGTTCTCATTTTGACCAGCAACCAGTGACTTTATAATTGGCAGCTTAACGTTATGAACTTACTTTGTTTCAATAACCATGAAAGTTGAATATTTGACAGTTTTATTCATTCTAGACGATATACATGGAAAAAGATGCCGTACCGACTTGGTTTCGGTTACAACAACTCTAACCACAAGAAGGTACACTGCCAAGGCTGGACTCGCTGGTCACCCTCAAACCAGGAGCTTTATACACCTGCATCCGCAACGAGCCGCTGCCACGGGGCCCGATCCTCGAGCCAACGATACATTAATGCAAAGACATGTATAGCCCTTCACCACGCCGGGGCATAAACACACCACAAATGGGTTGCCTGAGCTAACAGCTATAGGCTGCTCTTGTGTACCACTTGGAGGCTATTGTATCACAAGGACATCAGGTATATGTGTATGTCTGACTTTCTAAAGTTCCAAAGATGTACAGTTCTTTGTCGGACACCCTTTGTTAATTTCATTTCCAACAAATAAGAAATGTGAATCATCAAAATCTCTATCATTCACAGGGACTTTATTTGAATTATCAACTATTTCCTCATTTGGGGAACAACCATTAAGTGTTTTAGTTAACTGTTCTATTTCAGTTCCTTTTACTCGTCAATACAGGTAATACGTTTTTGTTTTTACACTGGCATTTTGATTTGGATCATTATTCTTTCCAAAATGTTCATCAAGCATTTTATGCAATTCCTTAAATGAAAATATTCTTTTTGAATTATCAACATTTTAAAGTTTGAACTATTTTTTGCATTCATAACCTTTTTTCACAATATTTGTAATAATTTCAAAAGAAACGTTTTCAAATTTGATCTCTGATAAAAAAAAGAAAAAAAAATCCATCAGATCAATACAGTAACTAAAAATTCTTATTTAAAAAAAATGTATTGAACTTGAAATATTTTGATTATATTACTGTTACTCAATATCACCATTTTCACTGATTTGATTTAAACATTATTACAAATGGGATAAGGCACACGTTATCACTACTTGGAGCCTTAGAAACCATTTTCCTCTTAAATTACCATGTTAAATATGATAAACTACGCTTTACTTACATCGATACTTTTATGTAATTGGGAGAAGAGTAAGTGTAGGTATTGGTTTGAGTTAACATACGAATACATTTGTGTACCTTCATTTTGTTTCTTAATTCTCTATTTTCATATACTCTTACACACACTCTTTTG